CAAGCGAAAGGCTGACTGACCGCAGGAACTTCAATACCCAGTCAACTCGGTGTCGACTAGCGAGGATTCAGATTCGCTACTATTGGCGCTCCAAGATTGGCGTCCTCATTAGACCGGAGCTGCTCTCCAGAAAAGGAAGAAGAAGAAGCTTCGGAAGGCATTTGGCGCTGTTGGCATCAACGCTGGAAAGCAGCCTGTGAGTCGAACGATCATTCAAGATGAAGATCCGTCCACGATTCCACTGCCGTCGACACCCCAACGACTCGTTCGCACTCCTCCGACCAAGCGTGGAGCAGAGCGTGGTGCCTTTGGCACTACCGAAGCTTCATCGTACTTTCAAGACTCGCACATGGTTACACCATGTTCGGAGAGCCGTATGCAGCGTGTTTACGCTGGCAACGAAGGTTCGTTCGGTCGCCGAGGAGGTCCGCGAGCTCTCAAAGGAGGTGACGGACGTCGTCAAGTCGACAGCGATGGTTCGTCCAGTGACGATGACATTTGGTGCGTATATTCGACGAGGAAGATCCTCAAGTCGGGTTGATGCGTCAGATGAATGAGCTGACAACGCAGAACGACGCGGACCCGACACCGAGGATTGAAATGGCATCACACCGACCATTGAATCTCATCAAGCCGTTCTCAGGCTCTCGCAACAAGAACGAGAACTGTATGCAGTGGCTCCGTGGGTTCATCTACGAAATGACTGGAACGCACACAGATGCTGACAAATGGTGCATTCCATTTGAGCTAAGTCTCCGGGACGGAGCCATTCATTGGTTCCGTCAACTTCCGAAGAAGACGAAGCACAGGTGGACGCTGTTGAGCGATGCGTTCATCCGCTACTATTGCTCGCAGCTCACGCATACGGCACTATCCCATTACTACTCTGCAAAGCGGGAACGTAACGAACATCTGTGCAAATACATAAACAGGTAGAATGGCTACGCTCGGAACGCCTGTCTACACTTCGAGAAGAGTGGTCGCGACGCGAAAAAACATGTACAGCCGTTGCGATGAAGACAAGTTGGCGGAGAGTCTCTACCACACTCGAGTCACCGACATTCACGAGCTCGAAGAGGTCATCGAAGATGTTCTCAAGGGCAAGGAACGAATGGCTAAGCGTGACAGTAAGTATCGACACTCCAAGAGTCGTGATGCGACGATGCGTACGCTCGCTCAGCCCGAAAATATGTGAAGGCTGACGATGATCAGTCTCGTGTTGCCCAGTGTAGTGGTGGCATTGGTGTGTGCTTGGAACAATTGCATTGCCCACCGCTACCGCGGTAGGTCCCGCGACGTCGATCTCCATGGGCTCGATGTAGACTCCCGGGCTTCCGCAGGTATGGCTGCGACGTACGACGCAGCGATTATGTATCCTCGCGAATCACGAGTGCGAATGCCTCCTCGGGAGAGGAGGGTTCAGCTCTGGTAAGACAATAACGTGTCATACCCTCGCGCATGCCAAACACGAATACATGGACTTGCGATGCCATGTCGATTGGCTTGGTCACAATGCATTAGGCCAGCTGTCGCGATTAATGGACGTAATCAAGCATGGACATCTTCCCTTGCCGAAGAGCGAAGAACTCTACACGAACGCGAGACTTATCTTGCGGGGACTCGAACGCGATGCGCAAGTCGCTATGGAGAGTTTCCAGAGTTGGGAAAGCCTCGGGGTCGACAACCAGCTTGCTAAGGGCCCATTCTTTGTCCTTCCCAGCTAACCGGGAGAGGAGGAAGTTCACTTTGGCGGATGACGCCTCGATGAGTCGCGAGGCGATAGCGACGGCGATCTCGCGGAACCACCGGTTTAGCGGGGGTCGGTTTTCACCGGCGCCAGAATACGTAGACGTCTCCAACTTTCTGACGTCATTCTGGGATGGACACGAGGGAGTTGACACCCGCCGATTCGCATCGGCGAGCTCGCGTTCCACGAGCGCTTGCGCTGCAAGACGTTGCTGGTCGGGCCTCGCTGAGCTCAGCAGCGATGCGAGAACGGCATCTCCGGACACCGTTACAAGGCGGTGAAGCGCTTCCCACTACACGCGAGTGAGATGGGGAATGCAGCGTGCTCCAGGGTCACCCCGGAGATCTGGACTTGGCTCATCGTAGACTTGGTCGTTGGAAGGACTACAACGCGCTATCAGGTGTAACGGGGTAAGCGTTACCGTCACTAGTGTGGAGGAAGCTCGCAATAATAAAACCAAGTCTTAGGTTTGTGTCAAATTCAACTCTGATTTATTTGGGACCAGGGCGGCAACCCCTGGCCTCGTGTGAACCGCTCAAATACATGTCTACACTTGATTGGTCAATAAGTGAGTCTGGCTCCTCACTATTAACCAATCAGATGATGACACCTTGGCACACGGGTAACGTGTGCCACTTTGCCTACCTGTGTAATAGCTCAGGAAATATCTACCTACTTATGTAATTGGAGTTGGGCCCATCACATTACTGGAACGAGAATCGTCCTAGGTTCTGGGACTGGCAAATGAACGTCCCACAGAAGACCTTCAACGCACAGACTCAGCGACGCAAGGCCAAATGTCGGCGGTGGTCGCGCGCGTCTGGTTCTTGAGCATCTGCGGCGAAACTTGGGGTTACTTCAGTTTCCTTTGACTGTTCGAGAACTGTGCTCATTGTTGTCGTCTCATGTGGATGGGGGGGGCAACCGGGTCGGAACGCTCCAAACGCCAAGTCTTACAGCGGTCCGGTCATCGATAATCGCTCCAAACTTTACTCGCGAGACGCTGAGGCGTATGCTCGCAAAGTTAAGAGCGCTCTCAAACCGTTCCGCATCGTCGAGGGAGGCTTCACGACGATCACGGAGTTGCTGGAACATACGGGATCTGTAATGAGCCTACTTTAAGCCCACTACTTCGGCTTACACGTTGGCGCATGTGTATGAGGAAGCGTAAGTTGCGTTTCACTTAGATTAACTATACTTTAGTCCGAAAGTATGTATTTACTTAAATAGGAAAGCAAAACCGATTTCCGGTAGAATGAAAACTGTCTATGTGTTTGTTTGGGTTTTCCTCCTAATCTAATATTCTAAATGAAAGGTATTTATCAACGAATGGTTGACAGAAATCTATTATTCTAATTGGTTGAAGATATTGACTTTCAGCCAATGCCTTGAATGCATGCAGACCAACAGTCTGCCAAATGTATCCATTGGTGGAAAACCCCTTTCGTAACCGAGTGACTATGTGTAGCCACTTGCGTGTAACCCTGTTACAGGAACTCTCGACCCAAATAATTCGGAGCCGGACAGCCAGCTCACGGACCGTGCCTTAGCTCTCGTATTGCTGGATTTGAAGTCCAAAGACGAGCACGAGCCACACTGGATGGGAGATCGTTCGAAGGGAGTCTGGCACGCGTTGAGTCACTGCCCTCGCATCCAGAAATTGACGGCTAAGCTTTCGCGGGAACGGAAACGAGGAGCTTGGAGAACACCCAAGGTAGCTCCTCTTGACCCGTCCCAAGCAGACTCCGAGGGATATGCAACGTATGAGCGCACAGACGACACTTACACTGCGATTTGAGATGAGGAGAGCGAAGAAGCGTCGGCCTACGAAGAAGAGGAAACGGACAGCGAAGTCGAAGAGGCTCATCCCGTCATGAAAACGTTGAATTTGGCTTCTAGCTCCGAAGAGAGCTCAGACAAAGGTAAGCGTCCTAATAAGCGGCCGCAGCTCTCTCGAACGCCTTCGAGGTTGAAGCCTCGCACGAAGCGTTCGCGCACCCGATCGCGTATCTACACGCCTTCAAAGAGACCCAGCGCCAGCTCCTCACATAAACGTTCTCCGTTTCCCCTCGTGACGTTAACCGTCTTTTGACGCTCGTGGGGGAGCACTTGCCGCTAGGGAAAGACGAATGGGAGCGCTTGGCGTCTTACTACAACTTGACCAGAGCCCGTAGTTGGACAGAGCACGACTTTGATAGCCTAAGGCGCAAGTTCAAGGTGTTGTATAACACCCGCCAGTCTACGGACAAGCCTGACATACCTCCTCATATCAAACATGCCAAGCTACTTAAGCGAGGGGTTGATGACAAGGCCAACGTTGTCGAAATGGACGACAAGGCCGACGAAGACCTAGCTAAGGACGAGGACGAAGCTGCAAAGGAAGACCAAGAAGAGCAGCCCGATTTCTGCTTTGACATCAATTCAGATGACACCTTTTTTGGCGATCGTAATGGGACCGCAGGTGCAATTAGGGTTAGTGGCGATGTTCCGAGTATCAGCTCTCCTGACAGCGACGCCAGTCGTCGTGATGAGTCGCCCTGTATTGAGGGCGCTGGAGATCTAGACTCTAATGCGGCTGGCCGTCTGGGCCGTGCCGGTATGCACCCCTCTATGTCTACTGTAGCCAGGATGGACTGGAGGCATTCGCTACTATGACGTCGTCGGCGCCTACGCAGACAACGTCACACCAGCCTCGTCCTAGTAACGCAGCTAAATGCCGTAAAGTCGCCAATGCACCAGTTGTTCCTAGCGCTCCAGCGTCTACGAGCGACACTACTTCATTCGATCCGAAGGCGGGGAGCCGTGACGAGCAAGATGCTTCACGCCACAAGAAGCAACTCAGTTTTTCGAACCGCCTCGGTGGCTCCGACTCGAAGCGTGCGCATGATAACGACGAAAAGGATATGATGTAGGCGGGTTATTCAAAGGCAAAACGTGCTCGAGCTTTAAAAACTACTACAGTGCTCAAAAAGAAGCTGGAGCACCTCGAGACTGCTAGCAACAACATGGGAGGTAACTTGTTTGAAAATGATGATGTTCCTCTGCGAGGAAAATGAGCGCAGAACCGAGGTACGCCGTGCTAACGATGAACAACGTCGTCGCGATAAGAACGCCGTACGTGAGGCCCGCTTTCTCAATGAAAAAAAAACCGAAGTTGAGGAGCGGCGCCGTCAAGATAAGCTTGAGTTGGAGGAGCGCGCTCGCCGTGATAAAGAAGAATCCTGAGCCCGCACGCAGGAGTTGATGCTGTTCATCAGTGCCATCGGTAAGAGAGAATAGGGCCACTGGTTTCGTGGATGTGCACGACGTGCTCGATACGCTCCAGACGAGTAACGAGTACGCGGTCGGCGCGGTAATCAAAGCCGAACCCACCGGGACGTAAGTTGCATGATCTCTGACAAAGACGTAGCATGTAAGAAGTGACGAGGGCTCCTCATTTGTAGCGTTATGTTAGCATTGGCGGTCAACTCGCAATACAACAACAATCAATGTTCATTTGTTACATTTTCACTTTTTGATTTCGCTGAGTGTGAGCTGTTATCACTCTCCGTTTGGAGAGATGAAGAAGTACACGGCAATCGTTGTCTCAGCCTAGAATTGTGAATTGAGTACACGTTACGGCTTGCCTACGAGCAGCAGTGTCAACAAAGTCTTCATTTGGAGCTGTATTACAAGAACTTATCAATTATCAACAACGGTACCATCGATATGAAACCCTACTTCATCTCCGTGGGCACCTCCACCTCACCAGCAAAATTGTCCGGATCTGTGAGATACCCACGGCTTGGACGCGAAGGTTGGCCACGCGGAAGATATTAGTGATGCGAAGGCCGCGGAGCGCTGGGTCGTACGGTAGAGGAAGCATGCGACGGCTATAGACTTCCTGCATACCCACTCCGCGGCGTGTCGCACAGATGTGATTGCATTGTGGAGAGTTCTCGCTGATCTCCGTAGCGAAGGTAGAATTCGGTCGTATCTCCGCCCTTGAGCGGCGTGAGGATCCGACCTGTCATTTCGGTCGAAAACGGAAACGCTGAGTCGGGTACTATGTTCATCCGTGGGTCAGGACATAACTTGGTGTCAAGCAGCTTCATCCTGAATCCCAGCGAAGTGTCCGAGTCATTTTATGACCCCGGACAATTGTGTTTGCACCAAATGATGCAGCCGCCAGCGGCGAAACAGATTGTCCCAATCACAAAAACGGAATGAAGCCATACGTTATACATCGCGTTCTGGAAATCAACATTGGAAGGTTGCATCATCTAGCGCATGACTGTCTAGTTTGCAACATTGTAGGTGATAATAACATCTATATCATATAAGCTTTTATCGTACCCGCAGAATTTTTCGATCGATAAGTCCAAACGTGTTCTTGAGAAGAGGCTCGAGAGCCTCCTCGAGGCGAACCAGCTCAATCTGACGTGCCGGAGACGGTCACGATATACGTGCAGGGCCATACCCTTCCGTGTATTGGCCAGTGCCCCCTCTGCGCTGCGCAGGGTTCTCGCTAGTGTGCTCGGGGGTACCCCGAACAGCAAGCAGAGCGTGCTGATTTCCATGGAACCGACGTAAAAACAAAGCACGAGCCCCAGTGCCTGATGGTGGTACATGAGCTTCAGTGGGCGCCCCTAGCCGACAAAGGCGGGATATTGTAGAAGTGCGCAAACAGGATCAGTAACTGGTGAAATGAGGCTCTGCAGCAGACACAGGTTGCGTTAACACCCCATAGACGTCGGTAGATAGCTCAGCATCTCCCTACCTTATCAAAGCCGGTGGAATTTAGGAAGCTCACGTCGTTGCCACACTGGTACATATTCATCAAGGCGGAGACGCCAGACTTGTCCAGGCACTGAGTCGTGAGATATTGCCGACTGCACACCGCTACGCTCCAGGCCTCTTCCACCAGCAATATGTATATGTAACGGGGTACGTAGCCCTAAGTGTACCCTGGTTACATGAAGTGTGACACTTCACACTTCAAGAGTATGACACGTCATACTCCGGGATATTTGGTACAAAGTACCAAGATCGTTCAAAGCCAACCATTGGTCAACGACATTGTATTTCTATAGGTGACTTATAGTTTGTATTAAACCCAAACTTTATCTACCTATAAATATACTCAATTTACAATCTACCTTATTTAGGTCACTTCGCTCTCTTTTGAATAAAGAGGGGACCTGTGAACTGCCGTTCACTGAGAGTTTGTATACTCTCGGAGGATAACTTCCTCTAGCGCAAGGTGCTGTGTGACCCCGTCACACTTGGTAGCACTAGTAGTCAATCCACGCCACCGCGGGTAGACTACCTGAACCTCTCCGAAGTTCGTTGCCGTGGATAGGAACGACTTCTCCCATATGAACGACTCTCAGTTCGAGTCGGTTCGGAAGATGGCAGGTATCTTTGGAATGGAGGCCCTGCAGAGCCTGGTGGTGTCAACACCGGCTGAGCAGCTTGAGCGCGTCAATGCGTTCGACGCGTACAAGCAGGGCCTCATCGCGCATGTGCGGGAGAACCTGCAGGCCCCGGCGGCGGAAGCAAATCCGCCTCACCCGAAGCCAATACGGCTGAAGGTTAAGCCGTATGAAGGGAAGGAAGGCGAGAACCTTCACTTCTGGGTCCGAGAAGTAGAGCTCGCGATGGACGCGGCTCTGATCTCGACCGAGCAACTCCGTGTTGCTTTTGCACTCTCCAACCTTAGCGGCCGTGCTAAGAGTTGGGTGTACACACGGGAAGCAACATCCCCTGGAAGTTTCACATCCTGGGCTCAGCTGTGTGAACAAGTTCCGAGCCGCGTTCCTCCCGGCGAACTACGAGTACTGCCAGCGTTCGCGCTTCCTCTCGTGTAAACAAGGGAGGCGCGAACTGCACGAGTGCGTGCAAGAGATACGGGAGCTCATGGCGTCTCCCTAGTGGGAAACCCACTCAACGTACACATCAAGATGACTGTGTTCATGGACGGCCTTCGAGTGGGCCCCGCACGCACTCAGCCGTTCCGGGTGCGGTCAAGCACCCTTAAAGAGGCGATTCAAGTGACTCTTCAGGAAGCGTACAGCCATCGCCAGGCGCGTACGCCGGTCTCAGCGTGGCTTAGGAGTTCCTTGTCGGCTCCCGGTCGAACGAGCCCCAACGGACCCGTTCCCATGGAACATGGGTCCGCCGAACAGCGTGACATCTGCTGCTTCGGCTGCGGGAAGATGGACCACTTCAAGCGCGACTGTCCCGCGGAAAGACCCCGCAGACGGTCCTTCCCCAAGGCCGTCCTCAAGGGTCGCTGGCAGAAGCCAGGATCCCGGGGACAGGGGAACGCCGGGAATCATTAGGGGCGGGGCACCCTACTGGGGAAGAACTAAGTCTTCGTGATGGGTGCGCGGGTGGCGCGTACCACGGGGACTTAGCCCCTGAGAGTCTTTGCACTCTCGAATCGGCGAAGAGCAGCGGCGGGTTGCTCGTAGTACACGGATGTCTACGGGGATACGATCATCCCTTTAGAAACTTGATCGATTCTGGGGCGTCGAAGAATTTCGCACGCCGCCAGACGGTTGCTCGCAACAGCAACAAGTTGTCAGATGCTTTAAGAGAAAGCAAGGGCAACGGGACGATGTCAGTGTGAATGGCCGACGGGAAGGTCGTCACTGTCTTCAATGCCAAGTGGATCTGGCCGTCAAGTTTGAAGACTTTGACAGCCTCGAACAGCTCACTGTTCTCGATATGGATCCATATGATATGATCCTGGGCATGCCCTGGCTTGAGAAGCACGAGCCCTGGATCGACTGGCGAGGCAAGGCAATCGGTGCCAGCCGGCATGCGCAGTCCGACAGAGCATTGGTGAGTCATGTTCCCACCTCTGTCAGGACCCGGGGCGCCCGCAAGGGCTGCCAGGGTACCAAAGCATCCGACAGATGCTTTGATGGTGGCAGCGCCCAGAGGAGGCGCTGACCAAGTGGGTAACTTAGGTCCACAAGCGGGTGACAAAGTTCCACACACGGTCGCCCAGACCTTAACTGAAGAGGAAGACGTCGGATACGCTTCCTGTGTGGGTAACTTAGGTCCACAGGCGGGTAACTTAGCTCCGCAGACAGCTGCAGCTGTCACGAACCCTGAGAACAGCTTGTTCATAGTGGGTAACAGAGTTCCACTCACGGTCGCCCAGACCTTAACTGAAGAGGAAGACGTCGGATACGCTTCCTGTGTGGGTAACACAGTGCCACACGCGGTCGCCCAGACCTTAACGGAAGCGGAAGGCGTTGAACACGCTTCCTGTGTCGGTAACACAGTGCCACACGCGGTCGCCCAGATCGTAACTGAAGAGGAAGGCGTCGAGCACGCTTCCTGGCTGGGTGCCACAGTACCACACGAGGCCACGAGTGCCTCGGATGTCGTAGCAACGACATCCCTAGACGTAGGCAGTAAAGCTCCACGTCACGGTCGCCGTCAACGACGCCGCCGCCTCCTCAAGTCGGATCCGAACTTCGTTCCGATCGACGTCGCTTCAAGCGACTCGGAGTCCAGGGCCCCGTCTCCTCCGACAAGGCCGGTGAAGAGTGTTATCACATCTTCGATGGCGAGACCGGTTTACCCGTCAAGGCATCTAATGTCCACTTGGAACCGTTGCCAGAGGTTGCAGAGGTACTGAACCTCGAGGAAATGACGGTCGCGTCTTTCCTGGCCAACCTCAAGGCTGGAAAGGTTGCCGAGATGGTGCTCATGAGACCTGAGACCACTCGGGAGGAGCTGAACTTCTCCTCTGTCTTGTACAAGGACGTCCTGGAAGACCTAAACAAGCCGCGTCAGACGCGCTTGGGTTCTGAGATCCTTAAGAACCCCAAGGATCCGGTGTATCCTTTGGTGACGGAGTATGCGGACGTGGTGAACAAACACCCACCGAGCCAACTCCCACCGGATCGAGGCGTACGGCACGAGATTGATCTTGTTCCCGGCACAAAGGATTGTGTCGCGAGGCAATGGCCTTTCCCGCGCGATCAGTGCGAGGTCATTGATGCCTTCTTCGCCGAGAAAGCGAAGGCAGGCATGGTGCGATAGTCGAAATCCCCGCACTCGACGCCGACTTTCTCCGTTCGGAAGCCGAACGGAAAGTGGCGTCTGGTTCACGCTTATGTGGTGTAGCGGGATCAGCAAAATCTGCGAGATTGCCGAATCCAGCTTACCAACTGCACCCAGACACCGACTAACGGAGGGGGTCCCCCGATGATCCGTGTTCTGCTGAACTTTCCTCACCTTGTGTACCCGTCGGTAGGGCGGGATCTTGCTCTCTCGGTAACTTCCGAAGAGTTCAAGTGGTGAAGCTTGAGCGTCTTGGCGAGACGTGGGGATGGGGTGGAGCAGCAGTGGAAAATCTTCACTCTGCGTCCGTGGATGGTTCCGTATCCTAAGCGAATATTCGAGCTTATGGAACCGGGGCCTAGATCGTGGATCTGGCCGTAGGGTTGCCTTGCGGGTGTGTTCCCTTGCCTTTGTAGTTTCCTTTGCGTCGTACTTGCCGCCTCCTGTGACGGGATCTTGAGAGTTGAGAACCTCTAGGGTGTAACCGACCAAGTAGTAAATTCGGTTAACCTGTCAGATCTGCACAAGTAAAGGAAAAGCTCACTAGGTTGTAGGATCTGGCCAATGTATTATCCAGTTATCACTACCAACACTAGATTCGCAATTCCCAACCTTCTCCTAGCTCGTACGGCCAATGTAGTTCCGGTTCTTGAGGGCGGGAAGGCACTTGCGTGATACTGTGCAAATTGAGGACTGTATTGATATTTAAGACTATACCTGCCTGGATTTCTACCTTCTATGTCTTTCATCTGCTAAATCCCTTACCAGGCTCGGCTGCATGTCTCTTCTTCCCTTGACCCATCATCCCAGCTGTATTATCTTCAGATCCACCGGATCCATGACGTAATCATCATGGTCACCCTATTATGGGTACACTCATCCGGATCCAGGTCGCTTGGATCCACTTCACTGTAAGTTTGCACTCGTCGTCGATCTGAGCTCTCCCATCATCCAACATCATCTCGCAACCGTCTGTGATCTCCATTGTCCCACGAAAGCTCGAGATCCACTGTATCCATCATCCCTATACCCTGGATCCAGGTCCCTCCAGGCGGGATCCTCCCTCCTTGGATCCGAACTCGAAAGTATGGGATCCGGGGTACCTCGCGGTGGATCTTGACTCTTCATTAGCCGTGGCTACTAGATCCACCTTCAGAGGGCACCGACCATCCTTCCTTCATAGGATCCACACTCGATC